CTACAACCCATGTCTAAGCAAAAGCTTGTCGAGGAGCGAGGGGAAGAAGGGAGAATACTATGCATGGCTTGTATGAAGACCATCCCATCAGTCTCTTGCTGTATAGTGTTGTCTAAGTCTGTTGGTAAACTCGTGGCTTCTGGGGAAAATATGTTGTATTGATGAGACCTTGGACCAGGAGAACAGGTCAAAAGGTGGAGTGAGCTGGGTGGGTGCNATGGCTTGTATGAAGACCATCCCATCAGTCTCTTGCTGTATAGTGTTGTCTAAGTCTGTTGGTAAACTCGTGGCTTCTGGGGAAAATATGTTGTATTGATGAGACCTTGGACCAGGAGAACAGGTCAAAAGGTGGAGTGAGCTGGGTGGGTGCATAGCATCCCACAGCATCACGCTTGGGCATCCGCCCGATCACGCATATACACCGAACACGGACCGATGCATGGAACGGACCAATCAATGCACTTTCCTACATATATGTCACCCACCCTCGGGCTTATGTACAAGACCAAGAAGATTCCACTATATTCTCACAATATGTGGCTACACAGCGACTCTTCAGCTCGACAGTCCCGACATTCAAAGTATCCAAGCAGACTGTTTACGCTTCTGTCGATACACATGCCGCCACCTCGAACACCCTCCCTTGGGGCTGTTGTCTCGACCAGACCAAGTTTAGACTACATCAGAAAAATCAAAAACCAAAACGCAACTCAGACCTCTCGCCTACTTGTCTTACTTGTTAGGTCTCGAGGCCAGAACAAAATCACGATGAACCTCAAAAAGGTTTCTCGGCAAAGCCTTCGTCAGGATGTCTGCATGCCGTTCTTAGCTTGAAACGTGACTGACTGCCAACACTCCCTCCTCTGTCAAATTCCTAAGAAAGTGGTGCCTCACGTCTATGTGCTTACTGTTACACGAGGTAAGGGGATTCTCAGCAAGCGCAATCACGCACCCTCGTTGTCCTCAAGTACCTGAATCTTACCAAGTTTCTCACTAGNCGTTCTTAGCTTGAAACGTGACTGACTGCCAACACTCCCTCCTCTGTCAAATTCCTAAGAAAGTGGTGCCTCACGTCTATGTGCTTACTGTTACACGAGGTAAGGGGATTCTCAGCAAGCGCAATCACGCACCCTCGTTGTCCTCAAGTACCTGAATCTTACCAAGTTTCTCACTAGGCCTTAGAACTCTAGCATTCCGTTCACAAACAGAGCTTCCTTCACACCATCGCCCATCGCAATATACTCTGCTTTAGACGTCGACAATGAAACACATCTCTGCGTCCTAGAAATCCAAGCAACAAGACAGTCAGCTACAAGGACTAATGCTCCCGAAACTTATTTACGGTCAGTGGCCTTGCTAGCGAAGTCAGCATCTACGTACACCAACGTGCCTACTTCTACCCTATCATCCTGCTTGTACTTCAATGTTTGATGTGCCGTATCCAGAAGATAATTCATAATCTTCTGGGTCACCTTCCAGTGCCTTTTCTTTGGCTCATGAGAGTGCCCCGCCACTGCCCGCAAAGCATTTGAGATGTCGGGCCTCGTCTGGTTGGCGATCCACATCAGGCTCCCCACCACCTCTCGGAACGGCACATCCCCTGCCTCCTCATCCTCCATCACGGACCTGTAAGCGTAAGCAGGGGAAGCGGGGATCGAGCTGGTGCGACAAGCATTGAATCTCTCGAGAACACTCCTTATGTGACTCTCTTGAGAAATCTCAATCGTGCCAGCCTCGCGGTCGCGACTAAATGCGCAACCAAGAAAAACTTGACCTCGCCCAAATTCTTCGTGGGAAGAGAGTCACCTAGCGCTTCCACAACCATCTTGGCAAGCCTCTCGATTCCTGCATACAGAATGTCATCCGCATGAATCGCGACCATACCCATCACCTCGTCCCCCATTATGAAACGGAGAACACACGGTCAGACAGAGACTGCTCAAAACCAATTGTCTTCAGGTCCGACACAAGTCTCTTGTGGAATGTTCTAGATGCCTGCCTCATTCCATACAAATTCTTGTCTGAAAGGACGACGTTTCCTAACTTCGACTCGCAGCCAGGAGGCAACTTCATGAACACCTCATGATCCAATTCCNTACAGAATGTCATCCGCATGAATCGCGACCATACCCATCACCTCGTCCCCCATTATGAAACGGAGAACACACGGTCAGACAGAGACTGCTCAAAACCAATTGTCTTCAGGTCCGACACAAGTCTCTTGTGGAATGTTCTAGATGCCTGCCTCATTCCATACAAATTCTTGTCTGAAAGGACGACGTTTCCTAACTTCGACTCGCAGCCAGGAGGCAACTTCATGAACACCTCATGATCCAATTCCGACTGAACAAACGCTTGCTCAACGTCAAAGTGGAGTAATCCCAAGTTGTACTTGCACGCCAAAGCTACCAGGAAACGAATCGATTCAGCATTTGCAGTAGCCGAGAAAGTCTCAAGATAATCCACACCATGCTTCTGCTTGAAGCCCTTTGCTACAAGCCTAGCCTTGGCCTTCACTATCTTGCCTGTTTCGTCTGCTTTCCATTTGTAGACCCATCTAGCATCTATCACGTTACAGCCTATCGGGGCCTTTACTGCTAACGCGAACGTTCCTGCTCTTAACAAGCCTTCAAACTCTGCAGACATGGCTTTGTCCCAAATCACGGCATGCTTTTACTGGTGGGCTTCTCGGTAGCTACCTGTCTCTGCCTCTACATCCTGAATGAGCTCTCTCGGCAGTTCCATACTATCAGACGCACTCTGCTCCACCAAGAGTGCTTCTACAATTTCAGATGCGGGGATAGGGTGGCCATGAGACCGGATACGCTCTGCTGGTTTACGGCCCGAGTTTGCGCACGGGTTCTGCCACTTCTAACTTCAGCATTCTGATTCGCAGCAGTGTTGTAACTAGCAAGCTCATCCTGCGCATGACGATGAGATGGTACGTGCGGAGTAGGGGGAGGTGTCTCCGATTCTACCTCCTGCCCTCCCGGCTCCACGAACTCTTCATCCAACCCTTCCTGACTCTCCGACTCTACCTGCTGCCCTCCCGGACCCGCCGATTCTGCCTCCCCTGTCTCCGGCCCTCCCTGCTCTCCCTCATCGGTGAACTCGTCTGCTGGAGAAGACACAGGGGGAGCTGCGCTACTAGAGGAAATAATCGCGGGCGAAGATGGCACAGAGGGGGATTGGCCTACACTGCCTGCATCAACATTGCCAACCTCATCGATTTATCCGTCATAGACCGCTTCATCACGTCGCAGAAGAATGTGGGGTACTCCTCTTCCTACAAGCGGCCATACCTCGGCTTCGTCACTTTCCTCCCCTCCCTTCCCTGCTACCTCTATCGGCAAGAGATGGTTGCGGTGGAGGGAGTTGTGATGGCAATGCCTCCCATGTCACATCCCTCGTTTCTTGAATAGTCCCTGCCGTCGTAAGTACTCGATGACAGTCACGCGGGGGTCTCTCGAAGGACCGAAAAAAAGCAAGCCTCAACCTTCGGCAGCAGCTTTGACGGTCGCTGCCACCTACAGTAAGCCGGTTTCAAAAACGGATACGGTCTAGCAGGACTAGCTTCACCATACCACATCTCATACGGGGACTTGCTGTCTGGGTTATGTTAAGGAGTGTTGCTGTATGGCACAGATAGGGTACACAGTCGGTCTAGATTAAGATGGGGGGACGTCAGGTGGTATACCCTCTTAGGACGTACCCCATCGGGACTTAGCTATCTGCGCGCCCCCAGGTTGAGGGCAATCCGCCTCACCTCAGACCTGTNGTCAGGTGGTATACCCTCTTAGGACGTACCCCATCGGGACTTAGCTATCTGCGCGCCCCC